ATTATAGTCAATTTTGGCTTATTTTTAAATTAAATTGTTAATAAATGTTACGTATTTAATTATTTAACTTATTGATTCAATTGAATTTGTAATTTATTTTAATAAAATGTTTTTTATTTAATTATTTAATGATTTAATTTCATTTTTGATTGTTTAAATTAATTTAATTCATTTGTTGAATTATTTATTTTAATTTAAATTAAATTGTTTATTTCATGATTTAATTATTAAAATATACATATATATAATTGCATTTTAAGCAAATTATCTTGCTTAAAAGCTTTATGAAAGCTCTTAGGTAATGGCCTTTAAGGGTTCTGCTTCGATTCTCTCTGTCTGTATGAAGAAATAGCACCAGACGCCCACCGTAACGTCTACGAGAGCTTTGTGGTGTCTTCGGAAAGACTTACTATAATCCGGCCTTTAACTTTAACAACCGTCTCTTGATTCTGTGTCCTGCCACTGTGTGTTTTTGCTTTCGTATGTTGTAGATGACATGCAATTATGTGCTTAAACGTTGCTGACAAATGAAGCTCAGCATACTATCACTAATCCACAATGTGCTGAAATCAACAGCAATGAAGAACCTCCTGTATTTAGGGTTGCTATTGTGTTTCAGAATAAAGAAGAAAAGACCTCCGAAAGTACCAGTGCGAGGCTATCAAGGCAAGTTGAAGTCTCTGAACTAGAAAGTGAATGTGCAGTTGAAAAATGTGCACTTGTTTTTACTTGATCTGATCCTTAAAAATGGCTTTAGCTGATGTAACTCAATGCGGTCGGGGGAATTTTCAGTACATTTATAAACCATCAAAACACAATTATATCATTCTAAGTGCAGGATAAATGTTGTGTTCTCACAAATCACATGTCATTGTAAGTATTTTCAGCTACGTACCTCATGATCATGTTGTGTCACTTTTTAGGCGAAGCTCCGGATTCTGAGAAAGACTCTGATTCAGATTTTGTAAGTGCATTAGTCTACTTCACTAAAAGACATTCACTGGAGAACTTTTGTAAATGTAACGCTCAGTGAATATAACATAAGTAATAGTGTAATGCACAATGCAATAACTGTATAGCCCATGTACATGCAAATCAATATTCTACCTCAAACTATCACATCGAACACCTTTCACTCATTTAAGTTTCACAATATTTGTGAAAAAGCTGTTTTACATGAACTGAAAATGTCTGAAAGGTGACATGTCTTATTAGTATCAACTAAATACAAAACAACCTTTTAATACAATTTATATTAAAAACAACATTTGGAGTAGAAACAATATTCACTCAGAAGTTTCACAAAAAAATTTAAACATTTAAGCAAATGTAAAAATGAAAATGTTAAAATAGAACAGAAAAAGTACAAATAAAAACTAATTAAAATGAGTGCTGTCAAACTATTAATCGCGATTAATCGCATACAAAATAAAAGTTTTTGTTTGCAAAATATGTGTGTGTGTATTTATTATGTAGGCCTATATATAAATACACATACAGTATATATTTTGAAAATATTTGCATGTATTTACATGCGGATGTGTGTGTATTTATATATACATAATAATAAATATACACAGTACACATATATATATATTATGTAAACAAAAACGTTTATTTCGTATGCGATTAATCGCGATTAATCATTTGACAGCACTAATTAAAATATTAATAAAAACTAACTAGTTGCCAAGGAAACATCTCATTTTCATTTAGGTTCATTTGATGTGCTACAATAACTAAAAGTGAAAAGTTAATAAAAACAATACAGACATTTTTTTTTTAAATGACCAAACTAAATTACTTACAAATTTTAATATAAAAAGTAATTAAAACAGAAAATGTAAAATTAATTATAAATTAAAATAGTAAAATTACAATGTAAAAAAAAAATGTAAAATATTAATTAATACTATAATCTCGGTGATTCTATCATGTACATCCAATTCAATCAAATCTTAAGTTATACATTTATTTGAAACGAGTAATGTCTGCTGACACGTCAAAGATATTAGAGATTAAATAACTAAGCTTTAAGTGAAACATTTTGAATGAATGAGCAAAAAAATGTTACACTTGCACAGATTTTAACTGATGTAAAAGCATGAAATATAAAGAGACAGGAAATGTATTGATCACATATACGTCTTTAAATATAACAGGACAGCGATACGTACGAGGACCCTCAGGGCGATCATGACGATAACTACGAACCTCCGCCGAGGCTTGAAGGACACATGAAGGCCTTTACGATCAGCCCGTCCATCACCAACCCCAGAGGAGAGTATGTGGGTGAGGATCACGCTTTCTGTATCAGAAAGTCCACATCAACTCAAAACCGACTCTGTTTACTTTCGGAATTGTTATTGTTAAAACTCATGCATTTGGAATGCAATTTACTGTTCAGACGGTAATTGTTTCTCATGAGGACACAAGGTCATTTCAACATTTACAGGAGCTAGTCAGTGATTTTATTGAGGTGTTTTTTCCACACCATCCGCATAAAGACTTCCAGCAGAAGTCGTTATTAAATCCTTTTTGACCACTGCCAAGCACCATACGCTAATTGGTGTGCTTCACAGTAATGCACACTCATTTTAAATATGGACATTAAATATTTAAGAATTTAAATATTTCTGAAATGCTGGAAAATGTTTACAAGAATACCATTCCACTTGAGTGGGAGCTGTTAGAAAGGGAAAAAATAACTAAATTAGATACGTTTTTTTAATACAGTATGCAATAAATGTACATACTTATTTAATCATTTTTATTCAATAAAAAATGGGGAAATTGACATGCTATAATTTTTAAAATGCTTTTCTGGCTTGCATTTTATCTCTGCAAAGGATGGATGTCTTTTTAAAAATATAGAAATTCGCAGAAATAAGTCAAAATAAGGCAAAAAGGTAAACATCTGACCCAGCTATTTGTTTGACTAGTAAAATTATTAGTTGTGCAAGCATTAATTTAAATAAATGTACAGTATATAATAAATATTTACTTATTGCATGCCATAATAATGGCCCGTTTAAACATATCTGTGACTTTGTTTTCTTTTTTTTTTCTTTTTCTTTTTTAAAGCTCCCTCGTACTGTAATGGAACGGTGATGTAATATTATATATGCAAATATTTTCCAGCATTTCAGTAAAAAAAAGTGTCCGTATTTAAAATGTGGATGGTAGTGGTTAAAAACTCAGAGATGTGGAATTCTATACAGACACATTGAAGAGAAAAAAAACTAACAAAATAAAAAAAAAATGAAAATGTAAAAATAAAAGGGAAAACAGAAAATAACTAAAAAAGGACAACAAAAAATGGAAAAATAAAAATGGAAAATGGAAAAATAAAAATTAACTAAAGATTTACCAAACGACTTGTGGATTCATATGCAATTGAACATGAACTTGGTGTTTGACCAAATTTGGCTGTGAATCTTTATGCAAATGATGCGAGAAAAACACTTTATTGTGAATGATTCACTGGAGCACTTTATTTTAAAGAAAACAAAGTGTCTAAATGTAAAAACCTGACTTTCCTTTTCAGCTGATGTCACTCCTATTTTCATAATCCAGTCGATTCCTTTCTGAACATTAAGTTTTGTCCAACATTTTTTGCTCTCAAACTCGCCACATAAAGAAAAATGGCTTGTGATCACTGACTCAACTTTAAAACTCTGTCATTTCATCATCCACGCGTCTTTCCAAACCTGCACGAGTTTCTTCCGTCGAACACAAAAGGTTTTTAAGAGGTTTTGAATGAAAAGTGATTTTTTTAAATTGTCGTTTTTGGAGCATAAAAGCCTCAATGGACTATATAATTTCTTCAAAACTGCTCCTTTTGTGTTCAGCAGAAAAAAAATGTGAACAAAATGAAGTGGAATAGGTGATGACGTAAGCCTAAAAGGTTCAGTTCTACAAAAGGAAAGTTCTGTTAAGCAGCAAGAGCATGTAAAACCAGACTTCCTGTGCCTTGCAGACAGCTGTCGTGGTCGACCAGCAAAACCAAACCCTCCTTTCCATATGCAACAGAGGCACAAACCCCCACGACCGACCCACCGCAGCCTGGCAGAGGAAGATGATGTAATAACGGCTTGCACTGTTCACTCAGAGTTTCATTTAGCGCACAATAAACTCCTGATACTAAAGCACTCTCCTCCGTTCAGGACGATTACATTGAGCCGGAGGACGAGGCGGATGATGACAATTACATTGACCCCACTGAGAAAACACTAAGAAGTAAGATGACAGAGGAAGGCCTTTATTTTGTTGCACACTGAATTATTAATATGACTGTAATGGGTAAATCCTAATGGTGCGTAATGTCTGTTTATAGAGCCGCCGTTTAACAGAGCGGTCAAACCGTGTGTTCCTGCTCGTGTAAGCGCTCCGGGTGAGACTTTCATGAGATTATTTCAAAAAATGCACACTTTAAGACTTCTTCGATCTAATATTGAAGGCTCGTATATTTACGCTCTAATTCTCCTTTTTTAGATTTCTATGAGGTTTCTGATATGAAGGTGAGCTGAAATCAAAAGAGTTTTGTCCAGGTCACTGATATTCAGATTAATCAGATCAAAAATGATGTCATATATAATCATAAATTACAGGTAGTACAACATCATGCATAATATAATAATATTTTTTATATTTATAAAGATAGATAGATAGATAGATAGATAGATAGATAGAATCAGACTGAAGATAGATAGATAGATAGATAGATAGATAGATAGATAGATAGATAGATAGAGGCATGAAATATGACCTGGACAGGTAGTACAACAAATAACATCATGCATTATATATCATATTAATTTATGGACTATTAATTTGCTTTACAAATGCTCTGACAAAATGCTTTGTATTTAATTATAGGAGAATTCTCAGTCTAAGACAAGGTAAAACATCTTCAAAATCAACCCTCCTTTTTTTATTATTTTTATTACACACATTAAACTTTAACACAATTATGTTGAACTCAGTTTTCTTTAGCAGTGATTACAGCACTAATAATATTCAGTATGGATAAAAACATGCCACTTTGACTTCAAATTTAAGGCAGCAATTAAACAGTACACTCTTAAAAATAAAGCTGCTTAAAAGGTTCTTCACAGCGATGCCATAGAAGAACCTTTTTTGGTTCCACAAAGAAGCATTCAGTCAAAGGTTCTTTAAAGAACCATCTCTTTCTTACCTTTTTATCATCTGAAGAACCTTCTTTCGCAAAAACAGAAGCTTTTGTGAAACAGAAAGGTTCTTCAGATGTTAAAGGTTCTTTATGGAACCATTTAGACAAAAAAAAGGTTCTTCTATGGCATCGTGAAGCAGCTTTATTTTTAAGAGTGTACATGGGACTAGAATATTCACACATTAAAATCTACACAACTACATTTGGTCAAACTTACAGTAACTGTTAATATGACTGTCTTTCTAAAAGTGCAACAACAGCCCTTAATGATTCAGTCCTGCACTTCCTCGTGTCCTTCGTTACTGAGACACACATCACATGCTTCTCTGTTCTGTTGTTCTCTGTGAAATAAATGTTTTATTCTGATCAGCAGGAGTAACACGACTCTACAACCCAACACACATATGGCGCCACCTAAAGCCAGTCCACGGTATTACACAACCATTATTACCCATTACAAACCACTAGATTAGCTCTGCACTCACCAGTTCAATTATTTAGCACCTTTACAAACATTTATGATTATAACCATATCAAAATATTGCCTATAGTTTCTATCAAAATACGTTAGATGCATATATACATCCTTCTTCAGTTTCATTATTTTGGTGCTCTAATAATGCTAAACATTTATAAGACAATGACCAGTGTTGGGGGTAATGCATTACAAGTAACGCGAGTTACATAATCAGATTACTTTTTTCAAGTAACTAGTAAAGTAACGCATTACTTTTTAATTTACAAGAGAATATCTGAGTTACTTTTTCAGGTAAGTAACGCAAGTTACTTTTTTTTCCAATTTATTGATTAACAGCTCTCCTGTCCCCATGTTGAATGCATTACTTTTAAAAGTAACTTTCCCCAACACTGACAATGACAATGTCAAATCACTACAAAATATCCCTGAGATATGTATTTTAAAGAAAAGTTGATTGCACAAATAATAATAATAAAAATGTTTGACATGTTTTATCTGTTCATACAGAATGAACATCAGAAGGCCAACAATAACTCCAGTAAGTATTGAAGATTTTTTATTACTTTTTACATAACATTTAAAAATAAGACATGGTGCACATTTACAACATGTGCATGTGATTAGCATGTAAATAAGCAACCTATATGTAGATATAACAGTGTAAATGCATGTTTTGAATGGAGAACGTGATGATGGTCTATGTGTGTTTTAAGCAGGAATCACAGTCAGAGGACGAGTATGAGGTGTGTGACGCAGACGACAGTGAGTATCAGTCACAAACCAGACCCGAGCAAATGAATGCATGAAAAACCATGTATGTAACGTGTGTCTGATTGTCATTAGGTGTCAGTGAAGGGCCAGAGGAGGCCACAGAGGCCCGGAGACCATCAATGCCCACACCGCGACCTAGAGACCTGTAAGTGACTCCCTTAAACACTGAACGATAATAAATCAATCTGCCATAACATCAGATTCACTATCTAACAGTTCATCACTGCTGATCTTTCAGGAAGAAACATAATCCTGCTTTGACACCGGTATGGACTCGTTTATCTTATCTAATCTCTATTTAATGGTAAATCAAAACATTCAGTGACAAATGCTTGTCCATTTTTGCAGAAACCAAACATTGCTCACAGAGACAGTGAAGGTAACTATCAAAATCACTACAAAAGAGCAGAAAAAGCAGTGGCTATGTCCAGAACAGACTAGCATACGGCTTGCACTATTTTAAATAGTAAGATGCAAAACAGAAAGCATTATGCTGCAATAAATGTTTCAAGCAGTATTCGACACTGTGGTCATGTGACCTCATTACATTGCATTTGTAATTCAGCAAGAGATGCCCATTGATGATCTCCAAAATAAATCTAAGTTAAACAATGTCTTTAAGTTTGGTAGTCAAACCGATGCAGTATTCCACAAAATATGCTCTGTTTTATAATGTGCAATTTGGCAGTGTATAAAGAAAATCAGCATACTACACTACTGGTCAAACTGATACTGTATTCCACAAATTAAGCTCTGTTTAATAATGCACAATTTGCATTATGGATGCATACAGGAAAAATAGCATACTGCATGTTTCTGATGCAGAATTCCACAAAGCTAATGTGCAATTTGGCAGATCTATGCAAGAAAACTACTGTACTGCACAAATATTCCACAAAGCAAGCTCCATTTCATAATCCACAATTTGGCAGATCCATACATGCATACAGAAAATTAGCATGTATGTTTCTGATGCAGTTTTCAGCAAAGTAAGTTCTGATTGATAATGCACAAAAATGCAGAATTTGTCAGGTCCATGCATGCATGCATAGAGAAAATTTGCATGCTGCACGATTCTGATGCAGTATTCCAGCACAAGCTGGCAGATCCATGCATGAACCCATACAGAAAATGTGAATACTGCATGTTTCTGATGCAGTATTCCACAAATTAAGCTGTTTTATAATGCACAATTTGGCAGATCCACGCATGCATGCATGCATACAGAAAAGTAGCATAGTGCACAAATAAAATCTACACTGCATTTGGTTAAACTGATGCAGTATTCCATAAATTAAGCTCTGTTTTAAATGCACAGCTTGACAGACAATTTAAGCCGTTGCAGATCCATGCATGCATGCATGCATACAGAAAATTAGCATACTGCTCAAGTAGTACTAGTATGGTAGTAGGCTATTCTGAATATAGCCAATGACTTGTAGATGTGGCTGACATGAGAGTTTGCTGCACATTTATAAAGAGCAATTTTAACTCTGACCTTGTATTGTTTTAGAGTAGAGATTAAAGTCGCCTATTAACAATTGCATGATCTCTGTTACAGCCACATCTATTAAAACAACACCAGTAACTATATCACGAAGCCCACCAGACACCACGCCGAGCCCGTTGCCAACAGGGTTCCATCGAGCCAAGTAAAAAAAAAAAAAGAGTTTCATTTTCTCCTGTAAGCATAAACTATTATAATTTCATGAACAAAAGGACTAAACTACAGTCTCCTTTTCTGCTATAGATATATGCCTCTGCCTCGACAGCTTCCCTCCCAAAGTAAGATTCAAGCTTTTTCAGTTTGCAATAGACACATTTATATGCCTATAACTTTCTGACAGCCTTGATGAAGTTTATTTTTCTAGCAATTGATTAATATTGTTTTATTTCCACAGGCAGAGGGACGTTGCCTTCAGAGAGCAAATCAGCTAGAGATGCCGAAGAGGTGATTGCAATTACTGACTTCCCTTTAAATGCATTTACTTCTTTATGTATATGTTTTAATTTTTTTTATTTTGTAGGGTTTGGCTCTGACAGAAAATGAAAAATGCCCCATATGTTTGTGTGTCTCAGTTCGCAGCATAACTACTATAATCAAGAACATCCCAGCATTCACTTACAGTGTCTGTCAGTCTAACTGTCCTGTTCTCTCACACAGGAAGCTGGTGTGTATAAAAAGGTTTGGTATGCCAGCAGCTGTGACCGCAAGACAGCAGAGGACGCTCTCATACGCTCAGCTAAGGCACGTCAGACCTGCACAGAATAACACAAAACTATGCTGAATGACACTGCATTATAAATACCAGCAAGAGCAAGGGGCATCACTTGTTTTATTTTAGCTAGCTGTCAAGGCAACATTTCTTGTTTTCAACTTGAAGTGGCCTATTAAAATAAAAACTAAAACTCAAAAAAAAAAACAGCAAAAACTATATAGACATATACAGTATATGTGTGTGTGAAAAATTATAACTTTAACTAGAATTAAAATGAATACAGAAAAAAATAGAAACTAATTCAAATATATATATATATATTTCGATTCAATATCAATTCATATACTGTACATATAAGTGGATAAAAGGAGATCTTTTGTTGAATGCAGTCGAATGCTTTTTTTAGCACAATTTTAAACATGGGTTAAATTCAGTATTTGCTTGCATTCATTATGTGTATTTATACGAGTATCATTAAAAAAGGATGTAACACTAATTTTTAAAAAATCTAGTATTTAAACATGTCTAAATATTTATTCAAATGAAAAACTTAAAAAATAAGTAAGCAGGTATGACCTGCAATATTCTTTTAAGAAACTAGTAGATACATGTATATTTAGTAAAGAGTGGGTAAACCATGGCATTACAAATGGAAGTGATTTTTTTCCGACCACAAATGACTCTAATTTGCCTCTTTGCATTGGAATTTAAAACCCTTTTCTCTATTTTAACCTTTAATACTACACTAATTGTAATATAAGTATTAGAAATTTTAGAGAAAAAAATATTTTAAGTCATTAATGGACCATATTTATTGCACAAATAGTATTTAGTACCAAAAGATCTCCTCAAAATATTAAATAAATATTATTGAACTAAAATATAGAACATTTATTTAACTGAAAAATAGTTAAGCTGTATGTTCACATTATAAGTAAGCAATCCTGAGGGTTAAATACAAGAAAACCATATTAATGTTACCTCTCCATCACTCTCCAGAATGAAATTATACTGTATGTCACAATGTTTCCATCAAACATGTATTTTGAGCTGCAGCTCGTGATATTATTGTAGAGTTTCACTAGTTAGCAGTAAACCGGTTCACAAACAGTATACTTACACAGTAGCAGTGTTGGGGGTAACGCATTACAAGTAACGCGAGTTACATAATCAGATTACTTTTTCAGTAGGCTACATTTCCGTGTTGCAAACATTAAATAATTGGGATAAAAGTTTATAGTCCGGATATAGACTCTGATGTTGTGGCAGCTGCGATCAAAATGAATAATTGGAACTAAATAATGATTGTATATTTTACATTATGCCAGTAGGTGGCGACCAGTGACTGTTAAAATTTGATGTCTGAATCATTCATTCAAGAGATTTGTTCAAAAACTCTGGACGAAACAAGTCTTCATTCATTTATTTCAATAATTAGTTTTTAAATAAAAAAATTTAAATAGACTCATTTATAACATTAAATAAAACATTTTGTCAAATTAGCCTACATATTATCATATGACTCATCACAGCTTAAAAAATACATAGGCTATAGAAAATAAATGCATTTGCACATATTATATCATATGTACTGTGGCTCTTTTGGGAAAATGCATTAACCTAAAATGGAAAGAAAAAAAGGCTCTTTGGTCAAAAAGGGTTCCCTACCCCTGCTTTACAACATCACCAGATAATTACTGGCTGAAGCTAAAATAGTGGTGCATGGTGCTTGCAATGCCAAGTTCACGGGTTCAATTTCCAAGCAATGCATGAGCTGATAAAACACTTTAAAAAGGCAATGCAAGCTGCTTATGATAAAAGCACATGCCAAATGCATAAATGTAAAAATATCAGTCTATCTCTATTTGGGATGTAATGCTTATGTGCCTCTTTGTCTGATTTGATTTCAGGACGGCTCTTTTCTGCTCAGGAGGAGCTCTGGTTTGGACGCGAGGCAGCCGTACACACTGGTGGTGTTTTACAACAGCCGAGTTTACAACATCCCTGTCCGCTACAACGCTTCCACCAAACAGTATGCTTAAAACCACATGGATGTTGCCCCAAAGAGTATTTGTACACTCAATTCGCATTTAAAAATGAAAATGTTGTCATTACTTGCTCATCCTCATGTCAATCTAAACTCAATAATATTTTAAAAATGCACTCATACCACTCAGGTAATGTGGCTTAAGTGTCAAAATACATTCTGATGTCTATGGAAGCTTGTTTCCGCCACAGAATAAAAAAATAAAAACAGTAACTGTGATTATTTATCTCACAATTCTGAGTTTTTAACTTGCAATTCTGACATTTTTTCTCAGAATTCTGAGTTTACATTCTGTTCAATTCTGTTTTTGTTTTCACCACAGAATAAAAAAAAGTTATTGCAACTTTATATCTTACAATTCTGACTTTTTCCACACAATTGTAAGTTGATATCTTAATTAAACTACTTTTTTCTTGCAACTGAGATCATATCTTGCAGTTCTGATTTTTTCTTGCAGTTCTGAGGGAAAACGTCAGAATTGTGAGATATAAACTCAGAATTGAGAGAAAAAAGCCTGAACTGTGAGACATAAATTAGGGGTGTGTGATATTTATCTGCGATTAATATCTTAATTTTTGTTTTTATATGCAAGCTTACATTATCAAGTATGTCACTCGCTTTGCAAAAAAACAAACAAAAAAACGTTTTGAGAGTCCAAAAGCATTCACTGCATAATAAAGCTTATTAGAATGCCGTTAAAATGCCCCTATAATTCATCTTATGAAAGCAAAAAAAAATAAATAAATGTAGAGGTTTTTCTTTTTCATATTTATATAAAAAATAATTTTATACAACAGTTAAACAACCAACAGTTTAATATTGAGTGACTTACATTTTTAGACACATTAATGTCTGTTTTTTTTTTGTTTTGTTTTTTTGTCAACGAAGATAGTTCCAAACAAATATTTGTGACTCAGACCAACACTGCAGTGTTTCCTTTCTGGATGAATCTGTTTTTGAACAAATCATCTGAGTCAATGATTCAATTATCCATTCATAAATACAGTCGCTTGCTTCGTTTCTAAATTAATCAACCGTTTTGAATGAATCGCTCAAATGAATGATTCAATTAATCAGTCATTAAGACAGGGACTTGCCGCCACCTACTGGCGGTTTTAGTCTCATATTTATTTATCCATGACAGGCCTAAACCAGACAAGGTACTTATCAAAATATTGTTTAAAGTGTTAGTTCACCCAAAAATGAAAATTCTGTCATTAATTACTCACCCTCATGTCGTTCCAAACCTGCAAGTCCTTCCTTCATCTTCGGAACACAAATTAAGATATTTTTGATAAAATCCGAGAGCTCTCTGACCCTCTGTAGACAGCAAGTGTTCTTACACGATCAAGGTCCAGAAATGTAGTAAGGACATCGGTAAAATAGTCCATGTGACATCAGGGGTTCAACCGCAATTTTTTAATCTTTTTGTGTGCAAAGAAAACAAAAATAACACGCACATGCGTTAGCTATTTTACCGATCTCCTTACTACGTTTCTGGACCTTGATCATGTAAGAACACTTGCTGTCTATGGGAGGGTCAGAGAGCTCTCGGATTTTATCAAAAAGGTCTTACGGCTTTGGAACGACATGAGGGTGAGTAATTAATGACAGAATTTTCATTTTTGTGTGAACTATCCCTTTAATTATCATTATGGAAAAAAAATCCCAATAAATCGACATATTAGTTTTTGTCAGTATCGCACACCCCTAATATAAACTCATAATTGCGAGAAAAAAAAGTCAACATTTTTTTTTTTTTATTCCATAGAAAAAAAACAAGCTTCCATAGGCTTCACTGCATGAGGTGAAAAAGGTCAATCACTGACTAAACTATCCTCTCTCTCTCAAGCATTTCAGCAGCGTCTCAGACATCATTGAGAACCACCAGAAGAATCCTCTAGTGCTGGTCGACTCACAAAGCAACACCAAAGACTCCACCAAACTCAGACACGCAGTCAAGCCATGAGGCAGCCTTTGAAACAGCGTGAAACTCAAGACATTCATGACAAATATAACTGCATTGAGACGTTCATTCAACTGTGTGGTAGTTTCACATCTTACCTTGAGAGATGATGGAAACAGATCTACGCTTGCAAAGCTGGGACTTGCTGCTACTTTTATAACTTATTTTGCAGACTGACAGGTTAAGGGGGCGTTCGCACAGGACGCGTTCTTGCGTTTGAAAACAGCAGCGAGATGCGCTGTTTATTTTGACGCGGCGCAACGTGAAGAAAAGTCTTTTAAAAATACATCGCGTTTTGTGCAAACCGTCCCGAAAAACAGAGAGAACTGCAGTGTTGTATAAGATACACACATATGGTACAGCTGTACAGTTTATATATGTTTATGGGTGTATGAATCATTGTATAAACATTTGTTTTACCTTACATAAGGTGTGTTGAGTAAAAAAAATAAATAAAATACTTTTTTTATTAAAGTGGTTGTTTTGCGTATGTTGCGTAAAATTATACGATTAGCATTGCACAATCCTAAATATTTGCATAAGGGGAATATTATCACGTGGGTATTGTGTATAGGCCTATATATATATATACAGTGGTGGCCAAAATTATTAGAACACTAGTATTTTCACCAGCTAAAAAACGGTTTTAAGTCAGTTGTTTCTATTTCTTTTCCTGTAGTGTGTCAGTAAATATCAGTTTACATTTCCAAATATTTATTTTGCCATTTATTGTAGCTAATAATCCAGTGAGATTTTTGTCTTGACGACAGCCAGTGCTGCACACAGAGATCTGATCTGATCATCATCAGTCTGTCTGGAGTAACATGAAGAAACAGAACAAACTGAGACTGACTCAATCCAGAAGAACTGTCTCCAAGATGCTTCAAGAAACCTTCCTGCAAAGCTCCCTGAAAAACTATGCGCAAGTGCACCTAAAGCGGTTTTAAACGCAAAAGATGCTCACACCAAATGCTGATTTAATTTAGTTAATAGAAGTTAATTGATAAAGAAAATCTATTTATGACATTATTTTTGACAGCATCCTCATTTTACAGCATTTTTACTCAAGTGCCTAAAACTTTTAACAGTACTGTAGCTTTAACTTTCCCTGTTTTAATTGCCTTTGCCTTTTGAAATCACTCAAAGATTTATTATATGAACTTTTTATTATATGACTGCTAGTCTCTACAGTTCTGTAAGAGAATAATGAAATCAAATAATGTTTTGCATGGTAAATCCCTGAGCTGGGTCAGAGCAGCCATAATTTAGTCTGACTTCACATTGAATTTTGAGCAGGCACAGAGCAGCCTTAACTTGGCTGTGTAAAGATGGCTTAAGATATCCTTATTGTTCCATATATATATAGTACCTATGAAGTGGTGTGCACTGTAAGGTGTCAAGAGGCTGAATGCAAATATTCTTTGGAGCTATTTTGCAACAGTATACGTCATCTAATGACCTGACATCTACCGTTAATTTGTGTATAGTAAAAAGTCTTTTTTTTACCACATATAGGCTACAGTTGATTCTGTTGCTACATTTGTTCAATGATATGCCTGTAATTTCATCACTTTTTAGGTTACAATACCTGGCAACCTTATGTGGGCGACCCAAAAATTAATATTTACCATATGTGGCCATTCAATTACATACATTTTTGTTTTCGCTAGCAGTGGTTCTGAACTTCCAGATCATCTGTTTTGTGATTTCATTTGAAAATTTCACTATCATATTTTTGTCACTTGTTTTTTTCAGTATACAAGTATAGCAAAAAACAAAACACTGATGTATATGCAAAACAATGTTGCTGTTGATATGCAAAATGGTGTCGGAACCTCTACCTCGACGAAACATAAAAACAAAACATGAATTTTCAAAATAATTATATTTCTTTATTGATAGCTCTAGAGGGTTTTTTTGTAGAGGCACTTCTACAATACAGCAATGCAAGGTGCCATTCACAGCTGTTAGTGCAACACTAGTGCTTTTAACCAGTGTTTAAACTTCTACAGAAACATAAGAGACACGCTTGGCTTTCAAGTGAAGTGGATCACAGACCATCTTCAGACTTTGACAGAAATTCACACCACTATTAAGTGCCTGATTCGCAGTGCAATCAAAGGTTTGCCTGGTGAAAATTAACTCAAGGAATTATTATTCTGATCGGGTTACACTGATCCTAAAAAACCTTTGGCTTCATAAATGAGAATAAAAGTATTTCTTGGAAAATTTTGACTACTGATACCAAAAACATCACAGTTGCAACATTCTTTATCCATGAATAATACATTAACAATTTAATAAATGTAAGGTAATTAATTTAAACTCTTGATTAAACCCTTAATCAAACCCATGTAACTTATCAGCCGACTGCACGCTGAAAAATAAATATAGCCCATTCACATAAATACAAAACATTATTTCAGTGATGCTTCACCAATGCTGCGTCAACATATGCTCTCGCATACAGGTGTAGTTTGAAACTAATGCTAAATATACCGGCAACATGACAGAGGAAGCTAAACCAGATCCGTAGCCTCCTACAAACAGAATCAACCAGTTCTGTGAACATTTTTCAGTCTTCTGAAAGATGATTAGTAAAGCAGTAATGGTTAAACGACAGTTTTAAACGTCAAAAATAAAACAATAAAATAATGCAAAGCTACATAAAGTATTAAGACAAACCGATGTCTTACTGCTCAATCACTCGTTGTTCAGCGTGAAGTGAAGGTCAACACACTTCTTCTATTAGTATTAAGCTAACAGAGTGGAATATGACAATATTACCCTGAGGTCTCTGCAATAATCTCACAAAACCTGATCTATCACAGTATCGTGCGAGAAGGATTTGGTCTGACCGTATCAAAACACAGTGATTTGTCATCTATTAGGTCTCACATTGTGGAACAAAATAAATATTGCTTGCTCGTGTCATCATAAATATTCAATCGCCCGAGAAGGGTTTATCACTACAAAGAACGAAACAGATTTGGACCGCAACTGTATTTCTCTTACCCTGAGATTTGCATAGCAACCCTGATTCTTCACAGCACTTCTTAAAAATGGCTAATGCGGGAAAATGAACGCATTTCTATCTGTTGAAGAGCTGGTTCCAGCCTCTGGTTGCTTCCATTAGATGTCTCTGTCCGTGACCCACCCAGGTTTCTTGGTTTGTGAAAAGCCGCCCGCAAAACCAGCATCTAAACGTCGGCTGCAGCACGATGCTCTCCGACACTGTCGGTACTACAGTGTACTTTCTTCCACACACTCTTTTGAGCCTCAGTTTCAAGCTGAACCTTTCTTTAACGGTCCCGTTTGGCCATTCTCTCCTGTGATGGGACGCGTGGCAATTGGCGACGAGATTATGGCGAAAGGCGTCGCAGTTAAATTCAGAAAGAGCTCGGAGAGTTTTACGAGAAAGTACGACGCGATGCACGGCGTCTTTGTGCTTGTGAACCGCTTTCATGATGTTTGTGACCTCGGGGATATCAGTGTCGGGATGGTTGAGAACTATGACAGGCTGGTTGTGGCGTGGGATTTTAACGGATTGCGAGGAGCTGTGGGGAATCAGTCGAAGGGTCGCCGGAGTGTCTCGAGGCACCGGCTCCCAGAAGAGAACGGAGGCGCTGAAGTCTTCCGATTGTTTTCGCTAGCAGTGGTTCTGAACTTCCAGATCATCTGTTTTGTGATTTCATTTGAAAATTTCACTATCATATTTTTGTCACTTGTTTTTTTCAGTATACAAGTATAGCAAAAAACAAAACACTGATGTATATGCAAAACAATGTTGCTGTTGATATGCAAAATGGTGTTGTCGGAACCTCTACCTCGACGAAACATAAAAACAAAACATGAATTTTCAAAATAATTATATTTCTTTATTGATAGCTCTAGAGGGTTTTTTTGTAGAGGCACTTCTACAATACAGCAATGCAAGGTGCCATTCACAGCTGTTAGTGCAACACTAGTGCTTTTAACCAGTGTTTAAACTTCTACAGAAACATAAGAGACACGCTTGGCTTTCAAGTGAAGTGGATCACAGACCATCTTCAGACTTTGACAGAAATTCACACCACTATTAAGTGCCTGATTCGCAGTGCAATCAAAGGTTTGCCTGGTGAAAATTAACTCAAGGAATTATTATTCTGATCGGGTTACACTGATCCTAAAAAACCTTTGGCTTCATAAATGAGAATAAAAGTATTTCTTGGAAAATTTTGACTACTGATACCAAAAACATCACAGTTGCAACATTCTTTATCCATGAATAATACATTAACAATTTAATAAATGTAAGGTAATTAATTTAAACTCTTGATTAAACCCTTAATCAAACCCATGTAACTTATCAGCCGACTGCACGCTGAAAAATAAATATAGCCCATTCACATAAATACAAAACATTATTTCAGTGATGCTTCACCAATGCTGCGTCAACATATGCTCTCGCATACAGGTGTAGTTTGAAACTAATGCTAAATATACCGGCAACATGACAGAGGAAGCTAAACCAGATCCGTAGCCTCCTACAAACAGAATCAACCAGTTCTGTGAACATTTTTCAGTCTTCTGAAAGATGATTAGTAAAGCAGTAATGGTTAAACGACAGTTTTAAACGTCAAAAATAAAACAATAAAATAATGCAAAGCTACATAAAGTATTAAGACAAACCGATGTCTTACTGCTCAATCACTCGTTGTTCAGCGTGAAGTGAAGGTCAACACACTTCTTCTATTAGTATTAAGCTAACAGAGTGGAATATGACAATATTACCCTGAGGTCTCTGCAATAATCTCACAAAACCTGATCTATCACAGTATCGTGCGAGAAGGATTTGGTCTGACCGTATCAAAACACAGTGATTTGTCATCTATTAGGTCTCACATTGTGGAACAAAATAAATATTGCTTGCTCGTGTCATCATAAATATTCAATCGCCCGAGAAGGGTTTATCACTACAAAGAACGAAACAGATTTGGACCGCAACTGTATTTCTCTTACCCTGAGATTTGCATAGCAACCCTGATTCTTCACAGCACTTCTTAAAAATGGCTAATGCGGGAAAATGAACGCATTTCTATCTGTTGAAGAGCTGGTTCCAGCCTCTGGTTGCTTCCATTAGATGTCTCTGTCCGTGACCCACCCAGGTTTCTTGGTTTGTGAAAAGCCGCCCGCAAAACCAGCATCTAAACGTCGGCTGCAGCACGATGCTCTCCGACACTGTCGGTACTACAGTGTACTTTCTTCCACACACTCTTTTGAGCCTCAGTTTCAAGCTGAACCTTTCTTTAACGGTCCCGTTTGGCCATTCTCTCCTGTGATGGGACGCGTGGCAATTGGCGACGAGATTATGGCGAAAGGCGTCGCAGTTAAATTCAGAAAGAGCTCGGAGAGTTTTACGAGAAAGTACGACGCGATGCACGGCGTCTTTGTGCTTGTGAACCGCTTTCATGATGTTTGTGACCTCGGGGATATCAGTGTCGGGATGGTTGAGAACTATGACAGGCTGGTTGTGGCGTGGGATTTTAACGGATTGCGAGGAGCTGTGGGGAATCAGTCGAAGGGTCGCCGGAGCGTCTCGAGGCACCGGCTCCCAGAAGAGGACGGAGGCACTGACGTCTTCCGAGGCCCGAGTCGATCGCTTACTGACGGGAGAGTCCGCCGAGGACGTTTCTCCCATGCGCTTTCTGTTCAGCGATGCGAGAGGGTCGACTGACTCGCTGGATCCAGAAGCTGTTTCTGGGACAGATGTGGAAGAGTTTGCATCATCAGGCAGGAGAGAGAAGATGCTGGCATTGACCGGCTCAGATCGCTGTAAGGTAATTAATTTAAACTCTTGATTAAACCCTTAATCAAACCCATGTAACTTATCAGCCGACTGCACGCTGAAAAATAAATATAGCCCATTCACATAAATACAAAACATTATTTCAGTGATGCTTCACCAATGCTGCGTCAACATATGCTCTCGCATACAGGTGTAGTTTGAAACTAATGCTAAATATACCGGCAACATGACAGAGGAAGCTAAACCAGATCCGTAGCCTCCTACAAACAGAATCAACCAGTTCTGTGAACATTTTTCAGTCTTCTGAAAGATGATTAGTAAAGCAGTAATGGTTAAACGACAGTTTTAAACGTCAAAAATAAAACAATAAAATAATGCAAAGCTACATAAAGTATTAAGACAAACCGATGTCTTACTGCTCAATCACTCGTTGTTCAGCGTGAAGTGAAGGTCAACACACTTCTTCTATTAGTATTAAGCTAACAGAGTGGAATATGACAATATTACCCTGAGGTCTCTGCAATAATCTCACAAAACCTGATCTATCACAGTATCGTGCGAGAAGGATTTGGTCTGACCGTATCAAAACACAGTGATTTGTCATCTATTAGGTCTCACATTGTGGAACAAAATAAATATTGCTTGCTCGTGTCATCATAAATATTCAATCGCCCGAGAAGGGTTTATCACTACAAAGAACGAAACAGATTTGGACCGCAACTGTATTTCTCTTACCCTGAGATTTGCATAGCAACCCTGATTCTTCACAGCACTTCTTAAAAATGGCTAATGCGGGAAAATGAACGCATTTCTATCTGTTGAAGAGCTGGTTCCAGCCTCTGGTTGCTTCCATTAGATGTCTCTGTCCGTGACCCACCCAGGTTTCTTGGTTTGTGAAAAGCCGCCCGCAAAACCAGCATCTAAACGTCGGCTGCAGCACGATGCTCTCCGACACTGTCGGTACTACAGTGTACTTTCTTCCACACACTCTTTTGAGCCTCAGTTTCAAGCTGAACCTTTCTTTAACGGTCCCGTTTGGCCATTCTCTCCTGTGGTGGGACGCGTGGCAATTGGCGACGAGATTATGGCGAAAGGCGTCGCAGTTAAACTCAGAAAGAGCTCGGAGAGTTTTACGAGAAAGTACGACGCGATGCACGGCGTCTTTGTGCTTGTGAACCGCTTTCATGATGTTTGTGACCTCGGGGATATCAGTGTCGGGATGGTTGAGAACTATGACAGGCTGGTTGTGGCGTGGGATTTTAACGGATTGCGAGGAGCTGTGGGGAATCAGTCGAAGGGTCGCCGGAGTGTCTCGAGGCACCGGCTCCCAGAAGAGAACGGAGGCGCTGACGTCTTCCGAGGCCCGAGTCGATCGCTTACTGACGGGAGAGTCCGCCGAGGACGTTTCTCCCATGCGCTTTCTGTTCAGCGATGCGAGAAGGATGCCTGACTCGCTGAATCCAGAAGCTGTTTCTGGGACAGGTGTGGAAGAGTTTGCATCATCAGGCAGGAGAGAGAAGATGCTGGCATTGACCGGCTCAGATCGCTGGCTTGTACCTGATGAAAACATGGAGCAGAAGAGCAACTAACATGCTTTAAAATGTTTTAACAAAAATATAACAAGGCAAATATTGTATTTGTTTTATTATACTGGTAACAAAGCTAAAATATGTTTTGATAATATATAGTGGAAAAACGTTTTAATTACTATATTTTACTTCTTGCATTGAATGCTTTGAATGTTTGTGGCAACAATAGATATCTTGGATAACGATCACCATTAGCCATTTTGAGTAAAACATAAAAAAAATTTGTAATTGTTTATGGAGTCTTTTCAGAGTAAATACATAAAGCTGAAAAAAATGTTTTGATGCTTTTTTTTTAAACATTTTTAATTACTATATTTTGCATTGAATTATTTAAATTTTGTGGCAACAATCAATTCCCTGGAAAGATGGTTACTGAACCATTTCAGAGGAAATACAATGTTTTGATACATATATGTGACCCTGGAGCACAAAAGCAGTCATAAGTAGCACAGGTATATTTGTAGCAATAGCCAACAATACATTGTATGGGTCAAAATTATCGATTTTTCTTTTATGCCAAAAATCATTAGGATATTAAGTAAAGCTCCATGAAGATATTTTGTAAATTTCCTATCGTAAATATATCAAAACTTAATTTTTGATTAGTAATATGCATTGCTAAGAACTTCATTTGGACAACTTTAAAGGCGATTTTCTCAATATTTAGAATTTTT